CCCCAAAACCCCAAAACCCCAAAACCCCAAAACCCCAAAACCCCTTTATAAATAAGTGTCATTGAGAATCATTAATAATTAGCATATGAATTACTCTTCTGCTTACAAGACCGCTCCTCTAAGAAAACCTTCTAATCCAACGGAAACTCGCAAAATCTTTCACTGCACAAGTCTACCTTCCTTTCCTTCATTACATCCTGCTTATATAAGCCACATTCACATTTACAACATAGAAAAGCAAGTGAAAATTGACCAATCATCCACAATATATGGAAAATACGTGACTAATTCACAGAACCCTCAAATTGTGGAGGCTAATGATAGCCAAGGCGACAGATTTGGGCAGCCCAGATCTTCTTCTCTAAGAACCCCAGATTTTGGGAGTGATAGATCAAAGTCAAGAAATGATCAATTTCTCAGTAGAAACAGTTCTTTAACAGCTAGCAATTTAAGAGAGAAAATCTTGAAGAAGAAATCTAACTCAAAATCGAATTCCTCAATGTCAAGAAGCGATGAGCACTTCCGTAGTCTCAGAGATTACGAGGAAAACAAGGTCCCAAAAGAGGAATCTTTTCATGGGAGAGAAAGATATTTACCAAGGAAGATATTCCCCGATAAAGATCATCAAAGGCTGAAAAATTTGCCAGTACCCTCTAGAACTTACCTCTACAAGAGAGAGTCGACAACTTCATCTGATGCAAGAAACCAAAAGCCAGAGGGTATCAGATCATATAAAGAGGGTAAGATAGAGCAACTCTTAGGAAGACTGAGGAAAAATAACCAAGAAATAGCAGAATTGATATGTAGTAGAGAGAGCTTACTCAGAAAGTTGATTCAAGAGAGAAACGCTTCCAAACATTTGAGAAGAATAGGTCTATATAACCTGAAAAAGGCACAACTGGAAGCTATTTCCCTAGAGTTGGAAGTCAAGATTCAAAGTAAGTCATTAAACATAATATTTAGAGCTTCTCACCCCAAATAGCCAAGCTACCACCAATCTGCCATTTCCTACTGAATAATTTCTTGATTTTTACATTTTCAAACAATTATGTTAAAATAGGGGTTTTGGGGTTTTGGGGTTTTGGGGTTTTGGGGTTTTGGGGTTTTGGGG